GGGTAAAACTGTTCATAGGTTTTAGATAGTTCTTATGAATAACACTACCTCTTTTCACCTCTGTGAGGATGGTTTTCAACTTGTAAAGAAAAGCAATTAGGCAAGCTAAACATGTTGTAAGGCTTGCCTAGTGAAAAAGATTAATTTTTTTCCAATTAAACTGTTGTTCTAGTAAAAGATTTTGTTATTGTAAACCCCTTTTACTTAAATGTTTTGGGTACTCTGGACATTGTAATAAATGTGTGATTAAAGCATATTATTTAAAATAGTACTTCTGAAGGGGAAAGGTAATAGTAATTGCCATTGGGGATTTTTGCTTGTTTTTCATGTGTATTTTGGGAGGTGATGACAGAAAGGTTTGATCCCGTGCAGAGGCAGGAACATGGCATTTAACAAGTATCAAAGTTCTACATGATAGAGGAAGCATTTGGTTCTTAGTGCTGCAGTAATAAGAGTGCTCATAAAGAAATTATATGTAAAACAGTCATCTTTTACAGGCTTTTCTGAGTGATCAGCTGAAGGAAAAATAATGCTGATTCCCAAAATATCTTTTGTTTTAGTTAACTGTCTGGTTACATTTTTTTCAGAATTAAAACCAATACAAGACAAGAGAAGATCTTGTGTTATATTTCTGCTTTGGAAGCTTTTAGGATAGGGTTAAATGGAATAGAAACCTTGGCAATTTTCCAGCATCTTGTTATGAAGTTGATAGTGCACTTAGAAATTTTACGGAACATGGGAAATGATCCTGTGGTAAAATTGATTTTTATTTTTATTTTTATTTTTAATTGTTCCAAGTTGTTTTGAGACAACTGGGAAGAAGCCTGTATTTGCTTCCTGTTGTGGACTGTTAGCGTGGTGAAGAAGGTAGAAAAAGAAAAAAAGTCAAGGTGCTTGTGTTGTAGAGATTCTGCTTATTACCCAATGTGAAGTTGAACACAGGGCTTTACTGAGAGTACGTATCTGCTTGCGTATCTTGCTGTCCTGGTTAAATATGTTATTATCTCAAGTGTTCATCATTTTTAAAAAGCTGATGTAGCACAACCATCCCTGGAGTTCTGTGAAATAAATAGTTCAAATGGGCTTGCATCTGGCAAAATCAACTGAGCTAATTAAAACTGCTGAAAGTAACCTGACTGACCTTTCATGAAGTGAACTGGGAAGATCTGAGGTACGTGCTCAGCCATCAGAGCTGCAAGGCAAAAGCAAGTTACTGCAGAAAGGGGGATGGGGATAGTGACATTTTGACTCAGCACCATTTCTTGTGCTGAGAGCAGCTCGTGTGCCCTCAGAAACTGATGTTTTGCATGCAGGAATACCGCTTGTTTTCATGGAAAAGACAATCTCTCCCCAATTTTTCTTTGTTCCTAGCAATGCACTAATGTGTATAGCAAGAAACCCGGGGAATCGTTAGAAATGTGCTTTGTACAATGTGTCCTTAAACCGCAGGCTGGTGGTGCACTGGAACGTGGGCATGTCTTTGTGGCTGTTTCCTTCATCAGTCTGATTCTTTTGAAAGCATCTTATTCTGCTTGTGTTTTCCATACTAGAGCTTTACAGAAAAATGTTTCTACTACAGCTTCAAACATTTACTGAAATGCTAGAAAACCTAAAGAATTTCTGTGGATTCCTTATATTAAGATCAGATGTGGGAATGTCACATCGAATATCTGCTGTACAAAAACTCAGATGATTTTAATGGAAAATAAGAATCTGAAATGGTATGTGCCTAGCAGCAAAATAAACAACAACAACAGGAGGAAGGGAATGGACAGAGAGAATTATATAATGGGCCAGAATTACACCTCAGTGGTTACAAGTCCATTTCTCTGCTGTGTTCACAGATAAAGTAATTACTGCATCCATGTCTTTTTTAGTAATGTGAAACTAGTTTTTAAAGCAAAGTGGAGTATTTGAGAGAAGCCTGCAATGTGTGCAATGCTGTAATCCATCTGATTGAAAAGTCCTGTGGGGTGAGGCAGTTTCAGCTGCAGGGAAGTTTGAACAAAAATATTTTTTAAGTGTGCAACAGCATTTTTAATTTTTCAGTAATAATTAATCTGTAAACTGAAGCTTGGCTTTTATTGATTTTTATTACTCTAAAACTTTGCTTAGTATATAAATAACAATAGTTGGCAATCTGAATTGATGGAGAAGTGCATAAGCAGAATATTGAATGTATTTTGCAGAAGAAAGCTTATTTCATTGTGAGTCAAAAAATGCATTTTGATTATTAAGGCTAATGATTATTGAAAAAAACACAACTTTAGTAAAAAGCAGTAAAATGTTAAAATTATGTAGTTATTTTTATTATCATGTTGACTTGTGCTCATGGATGTTGTTTAAATTAGTTTACGTGTACATGCAAGTTTGTATGTTTGGAAGCAGAACATAACCTTTGTATTTGGGAAACCACAGGAGGTCCTTGGCAGTGATAAGTAATCTGCTTTACACATCGGCTGCAAATAGTGAGGATCAACCCATTCATGACTCTTCTACCTTACCTGTAACAACTAATAACCTACTGCTTCTGTCGTTCTCGCCACTCAAATTTGTGTTGGCCCCAGCTGGCTAGAGGCCTGCTCCAAGTGAAGGGAACTGGAACCATGAGCAAGCCTCAGTAGCCTTCAAAGCAGGTTGTATGCTCCAAATTAGGCTTACATAAAGTGTTCCATGCTTGGGAAGAAAGTCTTTAACTTTGGAAGTATGAATTATTACCTTTTGAAGGTATTGATTGGCAGTCTTTTGTGATCTTGGACCTTCCTAAGAAGAAGGGAAAATAGTGGGAATGGACATTGCTGGCAAATCCTAAATGAAAAAGCCTAGTTTGAAATTTTGTGGCTGGAAATTTGCTACCAGATCATGACATTTTTCGTGTCCAGAACTGCTAAGAGAATAGTAGCAGGTGCTCTTTTGTTAAGAGGACATTCTTCCTCACAGATGTAATTGCAGTCAGAGAAAAATATTTCTGTGGAATGCTGATGGTCTCTGGAAAGCTTGTGAGTAGCATGTCTCTGAAAAAGGAGAGAATTTGTAAAGAAAGAAGCACTTGTCTACATAGTTGCTTCTAAGACTTTTTTATTTACCTATAGTATTGTAATTTGAGCTTTGTGCTTCTCCTTAAATAATGTTCCTTGAAAATGCAAAGCTTTTTCGAGGTGTGTGAAGGTGGTCTCTCCTGTCCTCAATTGGTTTTCTCCTACACTTACTAGGGGCTGCTGTTCCAAACTCTTGCCAAACTACCTCTTTCCTTTGAGTTTATCTGGGATCTTCATTGTCTTACATTAACAGCTTGGAGGCTGGAAGGAAGTTTTCCTGTTTTTCTAACTAAGTATCATTCTTCATCTGCATGACACTAGTCTTAATTTATGTGAGACCTGTAAGCCTCATAGTTCTTTCTGAACAAAATGTTTTGTAAGAGCTGAAGATCACTTTGTTTCTTGTTGTATTAGTGGCTCATTATTTCTTATTTTGACACTTCACAATGGATTATTAGGATAACAAGATAAATTAGGATACAGACTGAAGTTTGTGTTACAAAAATTTTTAAGCTTTACAGTTTATACAAGGTAGATGTTGATTTAAAGATCACCTCCTAGAATCTACTGTGACAATGCTTTTTAAACTCTTAAAAACTTAAAAGTGGACCTGAGATAACCACATGAAATGTTTTTTTCCATTTGTAGTTATTTGATTTTAAAAGACCACTTACTGAAAGTGTTTTTGAATAGTATGGTGATTCAACTTTAATAATTTTGAATGCCTTTTCTTAGTGACAGAAGTAGGCAGGTCTACATCAATGGCATTAAAATATTGGTTGGAAGTAGGTTGGGAAAATTGCATTAAGATTCTGCCATTAAGCACTTCTGTTAGTGTAGTGTTTGCTTTGGAGCAGCCAAAGCTGTTTTTTTTAATATGGTACTGTGATTTTCAGTTGGTAAACAACATCAGTTTTCCTGTAAAAAATTACTACATTCCAGCATTGTCATTATATGCTTTTGACTAGTTTTGGGTCCTTTGGATAAGGTGATGTCAGAGATCATTGGTATCTTATCCTCAGAATAGTGATTTTGGAGTTTGTGCATTAAAAACTTCCATTAAAGTAATTGACATTCATCTTTGTTTTCTTGTAGTCCTGTTCTGTTGCACATTCACCTCGAAGCTTCTTCTGATATCTTAGAGTAGTTGTTTCCCTTGGTTTTTATAATTAGGTCTCACCTCTTGTTTTAATGCAGAGTGCTGCCTGTGATGTGATGGTCATTGTCTTTTGGAGCTTCATGTCTCTTACGTTGGTCTTCTAAACACAGATTGTCTTTTTTTCTTTATGTAAATTTGTACACCATAAACTAATAGACCTATATAGACATAGCTGATGTAGTCCAAAGCTGATTCAGCCCTCACATTTCTACCCTGACCACAACATGGCTTTGAGCTAGGACAGAGGTGGTGTTACTAATTTTTATTTTATTTTAAAAATTATTTTACTTTCACTTGTCAGCAGTCAGTGCTTTAGAAACATAATCCTTTCTAATCAGGTATTTCAGTAAATTTAGTATGAAACATTTGTGATGAAGAACCAAAATATTACATGCTAGTGTAAATTGTTAATAATTAACAGTTATCCAGCTAATCTAAAATTGACTGATTTTCAATTGAAAAAATTTTAATACCTAGAACAAGGAGAGCAGAATTAAGGTGGGCGATTCAGACTGACACATCATTCTCAGCAGATGTGTCAAAAGAGGTGACCTATTGAGTATGGAGCACAGTTTATTCTTTTTTTCCTTTTCTGTTCTTCCTCAAAATCTTGTATGTAGAGGTGAAATTATTGCTTATGACAAATGGGATTGTCAAATCATTTAAAGAGTAGGAACCTCAGGTAAAATCCACACTCCTGATGACAGCTGGAGAAACTGAATTTAGACAGTGTTGCCTAGGGTTTTGGGTTTTTTTTCCTTACATACAAAAACTTACTTGTAACTGACTATTTTTGGTCTTAGAGCCTTGATGAATATGAAGATGATGAAGCAGGACAGAAGGAGCGAAAGAAGGAGGATGCTATTACCCAACAGAATACAATACAAAATGAGAGTTCCAGCGCAGAGACCCCTGGCTCGTACTTACTACAGGTAAGATCTGAACACTTGCTCATTTTGAATTTTACTAGGTTTTTAAGGTCATACTGTCATCTTCTTTGTACTCGTATTTAACAGTAGATTGTACTCTATATAGAAACAAACATGAAATTCAGGAGTTGTCACATCACTAAAAACAGAGTATGAGGTTCCATCCCCCAAAACTCGATGCTACTGACTCCGGTTTTAGAGAAGAGAATCCCAAGTTCCTGTGGGGGCATTGAAGGTAAAGGTATTGATGTCCACTGAACACTCACTTAATAAGAGGAAGAGAAGCCTGGAGATTAAAGTGAAAAATACTTGTAGTTTTAGAAAGTTCAGTTAGTTAGAGGTAACCTTTTAAAATCAGGACCTAATTTCCTGGTTTAATTTATTGTTAGTTAACAGACTTGTAATTGCCGATTCTGATATTGATACATGCACACATGCTTAGGGAAGACTCCCTTCACTATGTAAAACCTCTTCTCCCCTTTTCTTATTCCCTGGTTGCACTCCCACAGGTCCTACAACCCTCTCCCTATCAAAACCTTGCCAGTTAAGCCCTATACACCTCATCTGAATACTGTACAACCTGTGGTATGTGTTTTGTCTCTTCCCTTTCATACCGTTAGTTTCTTTAGCTAGTCTTCTTTCTCCTTCTCTTCTGTTAACTGAACAGCATTTGCAAACCCAGCTGTACACACCGAATCTATCTAGCTCTGCTTCTTGCCTCTAGCAGAGGCAATAGCACATGCAAATGAGAAAAATACACAGAGCAAGCCCATAGTGATAGTTCTCAAATCACCAGTGGGATATTCTGAACCACATAGGGCATCACTGAATTTAGTGGGTCTGGATGCACGTTCCTTCTAAAATGTTGCCCATCCTTTCATATGCTCATGGATGCATTTAACATTCAGAAGAACGTACAGGAAAGAAGTCTACAGCTTAATGACCTGCGATGTGAAGAACAGTCTTCTTTTTTTAAGTTGAACCTGTCATTTGCTATTTGTTTCCATGTGATTTCATCGAGGTGTCCCTGTGGAAGACACAGGGAACAACTGCTTCCTTTTCATGTGAGTGAGTACCGCAGAGAGAGCACAGCCCCTCTCAGCTGTTTCTTCTCTAGGCTGAAGAATTCTATTTATTTAGTTGTTCCTTTCCATGAGATATTCAGTAAAATTCTGTACTTTTTCCATTTTGAACTGTGTTATATTTGGAATCAGGAAACAGAACTGAAGAGTTCAGTACAGCATGCAATTGTAGAGTTGATGGTGGGGTTTTTTGTGTTCTTTGTTTCTTTCCTGACAGTTCCTTATAGTCTTCCAATTTGTCTGCAGCCTAGCACTAAGTTTACTTTTTTGTTATATGTGTATACCTTAAAATTTTGAGGTTATCTGTGAGTGATAATGGCCAGCTATCCACAGAGGTGGATACACATGTAAATTTAGAAGCATGTTTACTTTTTTGACTCACTTTGTTCTTTTGTACACTAAATTTCATCTGTTTCATCTCTCAGCCACTCCCAGTAGAGAAGTCCTGCATGTTTTCACAGTTGGCCCTCATATTTTCTGTTCAGAGTAGCATGTGTGGAAATCTGCTTCCCAAATATATTGAAAAGCACAGGTCCCTGAACAGGTTCCCATGGAACTTTTGGGTACTCCATCCACTGCAAGAGCTGACCATCAAGTCTTACCGTTATTTCTTGTCTTTTTACCAGTGGTTTATGCATGGAAGGACAATAGCTCTTATTTCAGTATGGCTTTATTGAAGAGGCTTTGGGGAATGAGGTGTCAACCAGCTTTCTGTTCTGGACATTTTCTTCCACATTATATCATATTTACTCACTTACTCCTTAATCGTTTCAGAAGTACTAGCACCATTTTATTCAGTATAAATATCAAGCTTACTGGTCTGTAGTTCCTCTTCTACTCTAGAATTTTCTTGAAGATAGTGATTATGGTGCTTGGGCAGTATTAAGTGAGGGATTATATATATGATATTGAATAGTTTAGCTGTTATATTTTTCAGTAACATTGCTAGTTCCTTCAAAGCTCAAGGAATAAATGCCTTCTCATTTTGGCACTTAGGGTTTTTTTGGTCTTTTTTTCATTTTGTTCATTTGTTTTTAAGTCCTACCACTGCCTCTGTCTGAAACACTCTGAGTCCTTCATGAAGTACTTGGACAGATGCTATTCCATGGTAAGCATCGCCAAAAGTATTTTCACAGAGAAACCATCTCTGAACATGCCTCTTAAAACTTGATCTATTGTCCTTGCAGATTCTTTGGCAGAATTCCTCATTCTGAAAAGTTTTTATACTTTTTCCAAGTTGTTTGTTAGACTCTTTCATATTGTGTTCACTCTGCTTTCCTTTTTTCAAGAAGTATTCAAAAAATTGTCATTCTTCATTTACCCTAGTGGTATCATTACATAATGCTTTGGCTATATTCCTATGCCTCTGTTTTTCCATCCATGTTTTCTGTTCTTCTTGACCAGCAATCTCAGTTTCTCTTTACCAGACTGTCTGTATTAATTGTATCCTACATGGTTCCAAGTTTGTCACCTCTGTATTCAAACAGGCACTGCTGCTTTGTTGACAGGGCACAGCAGGGGTGTCCTGTCACTGACAATGCTGAAGAGAGTCCCAGTCCTCACATCTGGCAGACACCCAGGATGGCACATGTACAGAACAGATGGATCCTTAGAAAGTCGTAGCTACTACGATGTAATCAGTTTATTACTATATCAACTTGCTTTTTATGAGAAGACTTAGAAATTGCCCAATTTGAATAGAATTTGACAGCAGTGTTATTTTAGCTTTGATGACTTAATTTTCTTTTTTTTCTCCTCTGTGCAACAGTTAAGCCTAATTCTGTTCTTAAAAGTAGTTTGTTTTAGATTTAAGAATTCAGATGATTCTAGTTGCCATCAAGCAATGTTTATTCTAGTTCTATCTACTAAGGAGAGTTAATACATTTCTGTAGTTATAGACATGTTCACTAACTTGTTCATTCTGTTACCATTTTATGAAATTTTCAAATATGAACTACTATGACCTTTACATGGGAAACAAGACAGTTAATGTTGACTTCACATATAATGGACAAATATGTTGCTGAATAATGTTTTGTTTCCAATCCTTAACCTGCTCTTAAAATTGCATTTTAATATTGTCAGAAGTTTCTCTTCTTCTCATGGGCAAAATGTACAGTTTCTGAAAACACTGACTGAATTTGATGTCCTTGATCCAAAGCTCAGAGATATGAGATGTTTTAAATAATAGATCTAAAAATATATCAGACCTGAGAGCAATTTCCCTGAGGCAGAATGATTTGCCTGAAATCTGTTTCTCAATTATTTTATGTTGTAAATGCGGAAGATGATAAATCTGTCAACATTAGACCATTGGAAAACAATTACAATCAGAACTGTTACTTAACATAACCAAAAGATAATGTGGAAAGCCACACCTCACCAAGAGAATCAACACTTAATCCACTCCCAAATGCAAATGTTACGTCTGGCTCTGACTTGCTTTATTTTTCTCCGATTTTTAATGCTTCAGTTCAGTTGTTCTCAGCTTGTGAGTCACAGTGCTGTAGACTATTAATGATCTGTATGGGGAGTCAGTCTGAGTGACAAGTTGTATGTAATGAAGCTTAGAACTCTTACAAATTAGCTAAAAATTTGTGGTGCTAAGGAGAAGTAGCGTTAAAGTTTAATGTTACTAAAAATACTACCTTAACTAGGGATCAGTGAAATCTGGCAATTGTATAAATTCCATACTTGCTTAGCAGAGATGGTAAAATTAAAAATAGTGCAAAACTATTTGATAACAATGTATTTTTTGCAGTTGGACAGAAATGATGTAATGTTCAGGATAATAAATATATCTTCTTTTCAAAACTGAAGAAAGTGTTAGTACATACACAATATAAAGATAGCTTGAATAAAAAAAACCCTACTGGATTTGCCTGCAAAAACATTTAGTTTATTGATTACTTTTTAAAAGTCTTTTAAGAGACTTGCTGAGTTCCAGAACATGGAAGAATGCTACTATTGTGCTCGTGCTCAAACCCCCCCTCCTCCCCCCAAAACCCACTATATGCAATGCCTTAAATTTTGCATCAAGATACGCAGGTGGTGCTGATACCAGGGTCACCTGCCTCCTGGAATGCAGGGGGATTTTTTATATTTTAAGAGATCAGGTGCACATGTGTGCCCTTCTTGGTGTAATCTGTGACAGTAGGGTTAACGTAACATCTGTGTCATTATATAAGTGATACCTGAGCATGATAGCATGTTGTGGTGTCTGTATTATTTTGTGGTGGTATTGGAAAATTGGACAGCAAATCGGGAAGGTTAATCCAAAGTCAATGTAAAGCCTTGCAGTGGGAGACACATGCATAGGTCCTCCATCCCATAAACCCTCCAAATCACAACTGGGAATAATGGCTGGAAATAATGCCATAGTCACACAAAGCCATTGCTCTCCATACCTTGGAAAGAGTTTGAAATCCTTTGCTTCATGTTGTCTTTGGTTTCTTTCTGCTCACATTGTATTTCAAATGTGTTTGTGAGTGCCGGTTGTGCTGTGCACTGTGTGAGCACACTGCAGAAAATGTCATGATCTGTCATCAGTTTGACATTTAAGTGTAAGACAGTGGACTTGTTCAGTAAATAGGTATTGGCAAAAGCACCACAAAACAACAAGGAATTTGAGATCTTTAGAGTTATTTTTGACATTGGCAGGAGGATGGGATTTACTGTTTTCTAGATTCATGTTTTTCTCCTCACTGATGACAAAGGGGTGTCTCAGTATATCAGATGTAGGCATCTAAAATTAGATGGGCTGAGTCCTTTCCTGTCCCTGGCAAACTTGGACTAAGCATGTGAGAATAACATAACTTCAATTAGATAGAGCATGAGACACCAATTTTTGTGCCTGTGAACAGGAAAAGAGGAGGCTCTCAGTCACTTAGATGTTCAGTCTTTGTGAAGTAAATACTCTGA